GTGTCCAGGAGTCCCCGCCTGGCAATGACAGAGGGAGGCTGAGCCCTTCAAATAATGGGTGTCCGGAGCCATTCGGAAGCAGAGCCGTTTGCTGGGCGCCGCGGGCAGGGGCTGCTGCCCTGGGGACAGGAGCCTCCGTGCACCTCCTTCGCGGGGCAGGAAGATTCACTCACCCTCTGTCTCTAATCTGGAAATGCCAATGAGGAGGAGCTACCTAGAGAAAAGTACATCCACTTGTTGTCAGAGCTGAGAAATCGCTAGTTGTCAGTAAGGTTGCCAGATTGAGCAAATAAAATCACAGGACTTCCACTTTAATTTGGATTTCAGTAAAACAATTAAACTATGAAGAATTTTTAATGTAAGTATGTCCAAATATTGCCTGGGACATACTTATACTAAAAGTCGTTTGCTGTTTACTTCATTCGAGTGTAACTGGTGTCCTCTGTTTTATCTGGCAGCCCTAACTTGGGCTTGAAGTTCTTAGTGTCCAAAGCCAAAACAGCTTCTCCTACAAGCAGAAAATCCAAGAGCCGCCGATGACCTTTAGGCATTCCCTCAGCTTGCCCTCACCTCCCGGCTGCACAACAGGTGCGCGTTGGCCTAAATTCCCAAGCACCCAAGGGAAGGCTTCAGCATGCAGCCATCACTCATGGGTCCCTGGCCATGGAGAATGTACCGCATGCCAGGCACTGAAGGGGGTGTTGTGTGGGTGACATAGATGTGCCCACTGCTGCCCTGATGTGTGGCCCATGAATGATGGGGTGGAGGTAAGCCCGCCCACGTCACTGCCACTCAGGCTGGCCAGGACAGTGGTGCCCCAGGAGCCCCGCGCAGGCCCTTGGGATCAGCAGAGGTGGCAGCGTGGAGCCCCAGAGGGCTCTGGTGGGGCCGCAGGCAGGGGCCCAGGTCGTGGCTGCTGAGACCCGGAGTCCTGGCTCTCCCGGCTGCTTGGTCTCCGTCTTTAAGAAGGACAGCTGCTGTCTTGAGTCCTGGAAAGACGGCTCTCCCTCACGCAGCACCCAGGAATCGTCAGTTCTTAGGCTGTGCAAGAAAAGGCGAAAGGATCACCACTTGGCGCCATCAGGAGGGCCTCCAAGAATTCTCTTAGAACCTGATGTTGGTGATTGTTTCGTTGACCGACACACAGCCCCAGCCAGCACTGCTGCTTCGGGGACGTGGAGTTCCCTAGAGAAAGGAAAACCAGAGATGCTCTGTCTCCAGATCTGCAAGCCCAGTTCTTAAAAGAAAACAAGAGCATTGTCTGTGGCGCCTCTCACCTGCCCATTGGTCTCATTCCCAGGTGGACTATCCTCACTCCTAAATGTGCCAGGAGAGAATCACAGGAGTCCCCACATGGATTCCAGGGAAATCGACCTTGAATGGTGGCCTGCCATGGGCCATGGGAGATGGGTTTGAATAGTCGAACTATTCTAGAGACCAGAAGTCACACCAGTTTAGGCAAGAGTTTTCTCCAAAGACCGGCACCTGCTTGGTCGGGGGTATAATTCAGAGCCACATGGACAACAAAGGGTTTTGCCACAGTGGGAGGTGTTCTTCTCTGTGTGACACTTCAGAGAGTGTGTGACAGCCTAGGAAGAAATACGAGGCTGAGCCCCGTAGAAGTGCATCAGCGTCCCGGGGAGGAGGATGTACAGAGTGGCAGAGCTGCCCCAAGGAGCTGCGGTGTGGCGCTTAGCAGGCCCGCAGAGGTCTGTCGAGTGAATGAATGAGCCCACCAGCAGGCCAGCCAAAAAGCAAAGACTGAATGACATAAAAATGCTGCCAAACCCAGATCCTGGAACCAGGGCAGTGGGTGCAGAAGGACCTGGGGGTGCCAGGGGTCAACCATGAGCTAGTTCTTGGGGAACGCGCCAAGGTGCCGGCATGGGACAGTCAGGAAGAGGCACAGGATACGCATTCAAGGCGATGCGCAGTCAGCTAGGCTGGGCAGCAGCCTGTGTGGCCTGGTGGGAACTGGTGTGGGCCTTGTTCCAATCGGGAGACCCACAGCAGGATGGGCAGGGACCGTGCAGGCCAGGGAGGCCCCCATCCAGGTGATGGGTGGGGCCCTGATCCAGGTGGGGCACCCTGACCTGGAAGGGGGGCCTGATTGAGGTCGGGGAGGCCCTGATCCAGGCAAGGGGGCCCTGATCCAGGGGACTTGGGGGCCCAAAACCAGGCAGGGGTGGAGAAGATCCTTTCAATAAAAGGATCTTGAATCCCTCTTCTCAGAGACAGACCCAGGCTGGCCTGCCCGGTGCTCTCATTGCAGGCTCTGCTCGTCAATGAGGAAAACGAGGGGTTCTGCGGAGGCACCATCCTGAATGAGTACTACGTGCTCACCGCAGCCCACTGCCTCTACCAAGCCAAGAGATTCAAGGTGAGGGTAGGTAAGTGGCACCCTCACTCCTCAGCTGCCCTTCAGGGCCCACTGTCACTTCCTTATTTTCAGAGACCCCTACAATGGATCACATTTATTGGAGATGCTAGATAGAATTCTGGAATCCCATTGAGGGAATTAGCTGAAAGCCTGTGAAGTGCTGAGCGTATATACAAAAACATGACTGAAGGCTTCCCCTGGGTCGTGGAGGTCAAGGTCATTTTTATTTGCCTCATTACACTCTTCCAGAATTTTTCAAATTTCCTAGTGACTGTATACCATTATTTAATTGGAAAATACTACTTTAAAAAGTAACTCGCTGCCTTGTGAAGGCTGCTGTGTAAAGGCGTGGCCCACACCGAGCCGACACCACCGTGTGACCTCTGTTCCAGGCGACCGGAACACGGAGACGGAGGAGGGCAACGAGGCGGCCCACGAGGTGGAGATGATCGTGAAGCACAACAGGTTCGTCCGGGAGACCTACGACTTCGACATCGCCGTCGTCAGGCTGAAGACGCCCATCGTGTTCCGCATGAATGTGGCCCCGGCCTGCCTGCCCAAGAAGGACTGGGCCGAGTCCATGCTCATGACTCAGAAGACGGGCATCGTGAGCGGCTTCGGGAAGACCCACGAGAAGGGCCGCCCGTCCAGCACCCTCAAGATGCTGGAGGTGCCCTACGTGGACCGGAACACGTGCAAGCTGTCCAGCAGCTTCTCCATCACCCAGAACATGTTCTGCGCCGGCTATGACTCCAAGCCCGAGGATGCCTGCCAGGGGGACAGTGGGGGCCCCCATGTCACCCGGTTCAAGGACACCTACTTCATCACGGGCATTGTCAGCTGGGGCGAAGGCTGTGCAAAGAAGGGGAAGTACGGGGTTTACACCAAGGTCACCAACTTCCTCAAGTGGATTGACCGATCCCTGAAGGCCAGGGCTGGGGCACAGGTCTGAGCAGGGACCCTGGGGTCATCCACCAGAGACCCATGGGCTGCGCTGGGGTCTTGTGTCATCTTCACGCCGGCCTGTCTGCAGGCTGAGCTCTGGAAAAAGTTTCCTATCTGCTGTGGTTAGATCCATGTTGATCCCTCACCCTGATTTTTTTCTTGTTCTATTGAAATTAATCTTCATTTGGAAGCCTCTTGGGGCTGGGAGATTGCTTCAGGAAATGCTACGCCTTACGGGATGGGCGCCTGGTCTCCCTGTGGTAGGGGGGCCACTTCTGTTCCTTGTGTGTTCTTCCTTGCCCCAAATGCTGTCGTGGGGCATAGAGAGGAGGCAAGGCAGGGTCAGGGCCAGCCCCCCGGGGCAATCTCTCCCTGGGCTCGGGGCGGGGGCCCCCACGCATGCCAGGATCACTGAGGCCCTCCTTCACCTCCCATGTCTGGGACGAGGCGGAAACATTCCCCCAGTGTCCCGGGAGAGGCAGGATCCGTTGGAGGGGTCTCTCCTTGGCAGGGGATGTTGAAGTGGACCTAAGGACCAGTTCTTCCTCTGGCTTCACGCCAGAATCACCTGGGCACTGCTAACATGTGCCACGTCCAGCCACCCTGACACGGCTCTGCCGTCCTGCATCCAGGCCACAGCCCAGAGCGCTTGAGCCAGGGTCTCTGGGTGGGTGTGGGCCCAGGGCGTTTCTGCAGCTCCTCAGGCGGCAGGGGCTGGAGGAGGGTCCCTGCTGACCGTGGGCTGAGCATCGCCCTTCCCCACCACAGTCCCCGGCACCTTCAGCCCTCTAAGTGGTCATGGAAACGTGCTTTTGGAAAACAGTCATGCCAGACCAGACCTACCAGTGTGCCCCAGTGTCCCACCCAGCTTACGTTTTGTGTAACTTCCCTAGGCAAAGTTTCAAAGTTCCAGTGTGAAACTCCCCAAAACACCACTAGTGGGACAGAGTATTTCGCAAACAAGAGACCGTGTGAAGTTAGAAAATCAATGCCAGCTCGGGGGAAGCTTCCCAGAAACAGTGTAAAGGGAGTGGAGGCGAGGTCACGAGTCTGAGTGGCCCCTGGTGGCCCCGAGGTCCCTCCTCCCTGGCAGGAGACCTCATCACAGGGGCAGCTGGGGCGGGGCTCCCCGCAGAGCTGGGTGGTCTCTGTCCAGGGGTAAACTCAGGTCTTCGGTTCTGAGATCAAAAGTCATTTGGGGTCCACTGAGCTCTGGGGGAAGTCACCAGCCCACCCTCACTGTCAGGACTGGCGTCCCTCACTGTTGGCCACCGCCATCGGAGCCAGAGCGGGAGGGAGACTGAGGCAACGGCCCCGTCCAGGGCAGCAAGACTGTGGGGCAGGAGAGAATGCGGCCTGACTGGCTCCGTGCGGCGGCCGGTGGCCGGGTCTCGTGGAGGGATCCCCCTGGGGCTATGCATCCCGAGGGACCCCACCCCTGGTAGCCCCAACTCCACGGGGAAACCAGGCCAATGAAACCTCCTGTCTACACGGTGACTCGGGCTAAGCTTACACTGCGGGGCACACCATCTAAGCGGCAGCCCCCAGGGCAGAGGGGCCGGCGGCAAGCAGGAGAGAGACAGAGACAGAGAGAGATGTATATAAACAGAGATACAGACAGACACAGACAGAGAGATCGACAGAGAGAGACTGGGAGACAGACAGAGACAGAGATAGAAACGGAAGGACAGAGAGACAAAGACAGAGACAGACTCAGAGACAGATACACAGAAAGAGAGAGAGAGGAAGACAGAGATGGGGTAGGCGCGGCTCCTGCATCCCTGGCAGCAGCCGCTGGGTGTGAGGTCAGGCCTGGGGAGGGGGGTGTTGCCGTCTTTGCCACCGCACGGTGCTGAGCGTGATTCCAGGTCCAAAGGCACGCTGGCTCTCCCAGGACGCCCCGGGTCAGCTCCTCCACGAGGCGCTCAGCACCCAGGAAACCAGCAAGCCGTTCTGAGTGAGGGGCGGTCGGGCTCTGCTGGTCCCTGCTGCCCTTTGCAGAAGCTCTCTTCCCCGGCCCCCCACTGGCTGTGTCCCTCTGCCCTCGGGCCCTTGGACCCCCTGCCACGCTGACCTTCTTGCCATGCTTGGGAGCCTGGCCTCCAGGGGGCCTGCAGTCCTCCCCAGTCCAGGGGCTGCTCTTGGGCTCCAGCCCCTCTCCCGAAGGGCACCCCCGGGGCTGGCTTGTCTGAGGCAGGCCGCACTCCGTACCTCGTCTGCTGTCCTTTTCTCCACACTGAAACGTGGCTTACTCCTCCACCACCCCTCCCGGGGCCCCCCGCCACCCGGCATGTCAGCCCCAGGCCTCTGTCTTCTCCCTGCTGTGTCACCGGGCCGTGGCCGCGGCCCCTGAGCTGTCCCAGGGGCTGTGTGCACAGAACAGGGTCTGCTGACTTCACTCCCAGGAAGTCACCCCACTCTGTGTCCCTCAAGTCCCCGCCAATGCCCTTTGCCCTGGCTCTCATTTCTCTGCCTTTCTTCCCTGTCTTTGGCTTAAACAGCAGAACGCAGAGCTGAAGCATGCATGCAGAAAGCAGGATTTACCCAAGGAACGGCCACCTGACCCACAGCTGAGGCTGGGGCTCGTTTAAGCGGCCGGACCGGCCAGCGCCAGGCGGACTTTGCCCTGTTTTCAGACTTCATCCGCCAGCGGCGGTCAGAGTGGCCAGCATGGCGCCCTGTGTCCGGCTGCTCTTCATCCTCCTCCTCTTCCTTGAGCCCCACAGGGCAGCGTCCTCAGGTAGGCAGCCCTGCTGACGGCCCCAGCGGGTGCAGGCTCCCACAAGGGCCCTGCGCAGCTGGCCTGGGACAGAGCTCCCGATCCCTTTACCCCTCCCAGTGGCTGGCAGGGCATGATGGTGTCCCCTGGGCTCCTTCCAGGGCAATGCCCAAATGGGATTAGGCTGGTAGCTGGCAGCGTGGCTCAAGGTGCAGGGACAGGCTCTCTGTGGACGGGTCCCTGGCTGTGGGCCCCAGGGGTGGGCAGCAAGCAGCTTGGCTTTGTCCTCTGGGGGACCCACAAGTCCTATCCGGCTGTTGGGACATGCTGAGTCCCAGGCCTTGGACTGTGGCCCGTCTGCCACCTCGTCCTAGCTCCTCTGTGTGCTGCCCAGATGGGGCTGGCCCAGTGCTCCCCCAGCTCTGTCAACAGCAGCCCCCACCCACCCATCCGCCCCGCCACTCAACAGCAGTGGGCCCAAAACACACAGAAATAGCAGCTTCCAGAAGGTCAACTGATTTCAATTGATTGCATGCTGAAATGATAACATTTTGGATCTACTGGGTTAAGGTAGCATATTATTAAAGTTAACCTCACTGGTTTGATGTTTAAATCTGGAGCTGGGACTCTAAGATGCTTACACTCCTGGCCAGTGCTGCCCACAGCCGAGCCTCCAGCCGGCGGCCCTGCACATGGCAAATGGGTGATTTGGGAACTCGAGGCTGCCATCTCCCCGCCGGTTAATACCTTTAGGACAAAGTTTGAATCCTTAACGAGTAGAGCTGGTTAGAGTTTGGTTTGTCTGTAAGGGACCCACGGGTGGCATTACACCATTTACGTGTGCATGGCCTTACCTGGCAGGAAACCGTCCTGGCAGCTCCACCAGCATGGGTATCTGACCACATGCTGTGTATCAGACTCCCAGGAAAACCCTCTCAGTAGAAGTGGAAAGCAGATTACATACTGAAATGCTCTGCCCTTTGTAACAAACACGGCCCTCTGGGCTGGTGCAAAGTGGGAGACCACACAACCAGAAGCCTGAAACGAAAGGCGAGCTCACCCTGGCCACGCCCGAGGTCCCTGCCGGCTGGGGGCCCTGCCCTTCCAGGAGTAAACCTGAGTCAGCCTGCGGGACCCCTCCGGACCCCTGTCCACCCCCAGCAGGCACAGGAACAAGGCACAAGTCCCCTGCATGTTGGCACTGGATCCAGGAAGAAAGCCATTGCCCAGAGTCGGCCGCTGCTCTGGAGGCCTGGGTGATCCGGGTCCCGTTCCCTGGATGGACATGCCCCTCGCCGGCAAAGGCCGCCTCCATCCTGGCCTCGGAATGCCAACCCTACCACTCCAAAGACAGCGGGCCCCCACGAGTCCAAGAGAAACATCCCCAGACACACAAGGAGATGAGACAATGAGAGCCTGCAGGAAAAGCAGCCCCGGCTCCCGGCAGCCCCCACATGCAGGGCAAGGACACGGCTTGAGGGCCGGCATTCAGGAGGCAGGAGCCGAGATGTGCAAGGAAATGAGCCGCATCAAAATGCTCACACACATGCGGAAAGAACCAGACGCAGCCTCGGAAATGGGAAATCCATGAGCTCAGATCTTGGACCCATTAAATCAACAAAAAGGAGACAAGAAAGCTCTCCTTTACCACAGAAACAGATCAGTGAGCCTGGAGGGACGGCTCTCCTGCGATCGCAGTGGTAGTAACTGAGGAAATCTAAGGATGCCGGCCCGCCCTGTGAAAGGCTGCCCAGGACAGGAAGTCTCAGTCCCCAGCACCTTCCTCATGGGCAGGAATCTGAGGACACTACTTCTGCAGGGTTCCCCAAATTTCATGTTCACCCTGAACCCCAGAATGTGACCTTACTTGGAGATAGATAGTTGCAGATGGAGTTAGTCAAGAAGAGGTCATCGTGGTTAGGGCAGGCCCTGGACCTATGAGGCGCTCACCCCTCGGTCCTCCCAATGTGGCTGCATACTTATGTTCCAGAGCGGTGCTTACAGCCCCAGCCATCACACCTGTGTCCCAGGCAGCAGGATAGAGGGAGGGACAAAGAAACAGCCCAGGGCCACACCAGCTGTCTTTCAGGGAGTTTCCCAGGGGCTGGGGGCTGCCCCTTCTGTTTGCATCTTTTTAGCCAGCACAGAGCCACATGCCCCCCAAGCACCAGGACAGTCTTTATTCTGGGAAACCACATGCCCAGCTAGAAACCAGGGCTCTCATCCCACGGCAGAGGATCACCACTGGGGACAGCCCTCTGGAGCCTGCTGCCCACCCGCCCACGTCACACCTCTAGTTCAGGTCCGTGAACTCGGGGCTGCTCTCGCCTCTCTCAGCACAGAGCCGCCCTTGCCTCAGTCTGAAATGCTCCCCTTCCTAAGCCAGCTCCTACTCGCCCTTCACTGCTCTGTGCAAAAGCTGCCTCTCTGGGGATGCCTTGCTGACCTGCAGCCCATGATGTGCCCATGACGTTCCCAGGTGTCTGATGGAGTCTCTGCAGGCCCCTGACTTTTCACATGTCCATGCCCACTCAGAAGGTCATCTTGCTCTTTGCTCATATGGTCATTTGTCCAGCCGGTCCCTGTGTGGTCCCAACCCCAACGGCTGGGACTGGCCTGTGTGCTGTCTGGTTTTCTGCTGAATCCCTGGCCCCTGACATGTAGAAGGCTCGCTCCACCTGCCTTTCCAGCTTTGTGTCCCACCCAAGTCCCTGTTCCTTCCCACACACTCAAGTTTTAGCCAAATCAGCTCCTGACGCTTCCTCACATGACTCTGTGCTGGGCACCAAAGCTACCCTTGCAAGTTCACCCTCAGCCACGTGGCGCACATGGCCCGGAAGCACCTACTTTGGGGGGCATCATCTCCAAGACACCCGTGGCCATGGCACCACCTCCCCCAGAGCACAAATGGTGTCCCATGGACAGCTCTCCGCACAGCCCCTTGGGTTTCCGCCCCTGCGGTCTGGCTGTGTGCAGTGCCAGGGAGGGGTGTGGGCCACCATAGGTGAGGAGCCTGGGCTTCGTGTGACATGAACAGGGCTCACAGTGCCTTCGGGAGCCACAGGTTCCGTGCGCATGGTTTACGTAGGTCACTTGCTACAGTGCAGGCTGCCCTCGCTCACACCCTTCCCGCCCCATCACATGTTGCTCCCTCGCCATACTTTGCAATGCCAAAGGCTCTGCACAGATTTTACCCCTTTGCTCTAATTCTACTGAAGCTTTTAACCTGTGGTGCAGCCAGAGTGTCTGTGTCTGTCCAGGACGAGACCATGGATCGGACTTGGTTTCTGCAGCACTGAGAAACATGGTCTAAGTGGGAGAGGAGGCAAATGGCGTGTCAAGTGAATGCTGACCCCAGCCCAGCCATGGGTACTTTCAGGCCCAGTGTCGCTGTGTCCCAGTCCTCTCTATGCAATATTAGTCTCTGCCCGATTCACCAGGGTGAGCAGAAGTGAAGTGTGCCCACAACATGCAGAGGAGAGTGGGCCCTGCAGACGGGCCACGACCCTGTCTCAGGTGCCTGATCCACAGGGAAGGGACAGGGGGTGGTCAGGCCAGAGGCAGATGCTGGGTAGGAACCGCAGCACACGCCCTGAGCTCCAGAAGGTGCGTCTGGGGAGCCCCAGGTGGGCGGCCCCACATCCAGTGTTGTCTTGTTCTGCAGTATTTGTTCCGGCCTCAGATGCAAATGAAGTCCTGGTAAGATGGAAGCGTGCGGGTTCCTATCTTTTGGAAGAGCTCTTTGAGGGAAATTTGGAAAAAGAATGTTATGAAGAAATCTGTGTCTATGAAGAAGCAAGGGAAGTGTTTGAAAATGACGCAGACACTGTACGTATGTACCCACCGTGAACTCAGTGCCAATTACCTGAATTCCCAGGTGCAGAGGGCAGAATTTCTCAGAGACTTAGCTAAATTAACTAACCTGTTCACTTCCCCGTGGGGTTCACTTATCCCGATTTTACAGACAGGCAGAGACGTGACACAGCTTTGCCCACAGGGAATGGGGGACCAGGGCGCTGACTCTGCAGGTTGGATGAGCACACTGCAGACTTGATTTGCTCACTGAAGCTTGTCATGACTGACAGAATTTAGTATTTTTAATAGATACTTAATTATTCAATATATAAGCACATTTCAAAACACAGAAATCCTCCCTCAGATGCCTACATGCTAAGAAAATCTCTCATAATCTATAATTTGAATTAAGCAGCAATCTATAATTTGGGTTAAAACATGTACTCTTAATACAGATAAGATCTTGCCACTCCTAATTACACATCATTATTAGAAGACAGTGAGTCAAACCTGAAACTGAATATCTGTGTGTAAATATGTCAGAACAGTAAAAGATCAAGTGAAGATTTCCCAGTTTTATGTATGAAAGTAGTATTTAAAGTTGATTCTTAGCAAAATGTCAACCTAAATATCTTAAAATCATAGCTTCTTAAATGCCTATCTGTAAGAAAACTCTGAAATAGACCATCTTTTAAAAAGCTAGGAGAAATGTGAACTTCCTGGTAAAGAGAAATTTGAGTTCTGAAATCTAGAGCTTGTGACACAACAAGTTGTTATGGCCCTAGTATGATTTGGGGAGATAACTTGTAATGTTAACTTCCAGGCTTTAGATCTGAGTACTTGTCCTAATTTTAGATGCCCCCC